AACATGATAATGAAACTTGAAATAAAACTTTTCAATACATCCATTTTTTTTTTACACCCAATCATATCCTTTCTGGGAGTCTGTGCTTCTCTATACAATGCAGGCAAATCATAGCTGGTGGGAGGTGCTGTCAGTATTATACATAGTTTCCTGAAAACATCACAGCACCCAGCCCTCAAGAGCCCTAATCCAAGCAGCTGACTCTTAGGAGGAGCTATGCAAATATCAAATATGCTGGGTGTCAGTCTGAAGGAGTGGGCATCCATAAGCAGACTACATTTGCACGTTAACCACCCTGGGGAATGCCCGTATGCGACGCTGAGCCTGCATGATTGAAAGAACTGAACATTCAATGAAAGAACGAGGTGGGCCAGTAAGGCTCGGAAGCAAAGGGCAAGATTATGCTGGATGTCCTCCAGCCAGGAAATGAGGCAGGCTCTATCTGATATGATGCAGCTTCTAATGCGCACTGAAACCAGACTAAGCAATTTCAGTACAGGAGGAGCCTGTAGAACCGTGCGAGATTGAAGGAACACTGGAGTTCATCTTTAACTAAATAAGATCACTAGTAAAAAATATGAAAGATCTGGAAACTAGGATTTCAGATTTGAATCATATAATTAGTGTCATCTATATCCCAAATAAGAAAGAGCGCTCCTAATAGTTAATACTGGAACTTTCAAAAGCTTGTAGACTTTGCTTCCTTTCCTCCACACTTGACTGATTAATATGGAGCTGCCATCTACGGTAATACTACATATGTGTCCCCCTGGACACCTCATTCTTAAAGTTACAGTGGCCATGGTGCAGAGGGGAATGATGAGGTTTAAATACAAATAATGCTGTAAAAATATTCAAGGTGGAAATAGCCTTTGCGCAAGTCCTACTGAAGTCACAAAAGAAACAAAAAACAACAAGTACCCCTATACAGCTAATACCATAGCAGATAGATCATAAAAAGAGTCACTTGGATTGAGCAGTTCTGTACAGTACACGTCTCCTCTTGCTACAATTTGTACATTATATACACCACTACAGTACAAAAAGGAGTCTTTGTCCATCATTTCAGATTGAAGGAGCTAAAAACCAGAATCTGGACTTATAAATAAAGCAGAGAACGCGAAAGCCAGGAACACCACGCCACCGATGATTGTCACTGAAAAAGAAACAAATCAGTGTCAGTGTCTCTGTACACACCTTGCATGCCTGAAACTAGTTACTCAACCAAACAGAACTGAACGTTTCTTGTGTTATGTACAGAAATATCTGCAAATCATGGAAGGTTCTGGCTGCTGAAATATGAAAGGCAACCAAAGCAATGACTGCTATGAACAAAACCACTAATTGCTTCAGTTCTACCTATTGGCTGAAAGAGGTATTATTCTTTAAGATGGCCACTCCCCTGCTTCCCCATGAAATCATTATACATGTTGTTACTGTATGCCAATATTCCTGCTTTCATCACTATTTGGTTTTTCCCTGTACTGATACAAATACAGAACCTGCCATTACTGGCCACCTTCTCCAAATACCAGTTTCCTGGCAGCCTCTTGCTTCAATACTTCCTAATGTGCATGCGTGCTCCGGGTCCATATACTCTGCATTCCTGTTCTGTGTTAGTGACTTAAAGGGTTATTAAACCCTCATCTGTTTTTGCATATATCTAGTGCTAGCAAGCAGTAGATGTATGCAAAACGATAACAAAAAACTTACCCGCGTCTCCGCCGTGCGCTCCCGTCTGAACATCTGAACATTTATCGGGCGGCCGCAAAGGATCTTGGGGCGGGCGCATGTGCAGTTCAGATGTTCGGCCAGGAGACGAGGAGAGACACAAGGTAAGTCTATGGAGCAGCGTGCACCCGCACAGGCTCCGTGGGACATGAGAGGAGGACAGAGGACTCAGCGCTGGAGGGACAGCTGAAAACTACACTAAAGAAGATGATCGGATAAGGGAGACATCATTTAAGGTAAGTCCTTACATTACCACTGTGAAGGGGAGGGGGGGAATCTTTTGCCCCTAATGTCACTTTAAACTATTAAATCATATCAGCAATCTCAACTAGGTGATAACATTTTCAGAAGGAGGCATCAATGACCGTAACCAAAGTATTTCCTTCACTGCACATTTCCTCTAAATGAAAGATTTCTTTTTTATACAAGTTTAATTCTACATATGATTGTAGAATCAAACTGAAGTATTGGGTTAATAGAGGACATACCGTATGTAGACCCTTATACAGCCAGTGTGGCACGGGATCAGTGGCAGGAGCTCTGCTGCAGAGCAAAGGTTCAGCAAACGGGCCGCCACAGGGGGAAACATAATGATACTTTCTTCCCATACTATCATTGTATTTTTATTAACCCTCTCACAGGGTCCCCCATTCTAAATCTACTCCTACTGTCCACTATATTTATGCCTGACAATGTTTATATAAAAACTTTTTCTCCATGCATTAAATAAACTGCAATCTCCAACGTTTCAGTCATGTTAAATAGACAGCAGCTAAGATTTACACACAGATCAACTCTGTAGGGTGGGAAATGGTGGTGTGAGAATTACTTACCAGTCCGCACTGAAATTTTTTGTGCGATCATCCTCCCTCCAATAACTGCTAATCCAGTGCATAAACAATGGCCTATGGTTCCCCCAACAGCCACACCAAAAGGATCCTGCAGCAAAGAAATTCAAATGATATGCAAATTCCTCCAAAGCAGTAGCCGGAAATAGTAAAATGAAGAAAGCAGCCGTACAAAAACTTACTTCTCTAGCTGCCAAGACAATGGTTGTAAGCTGTGATCGATCCCCCCACTCTGCCAAGAAGGTCAAGGTAAACGCCTGGACAAAGATAGGAGAGATGAACTGCATCCACCTCTTCTTGGGGACAGCGGGTCCCCCTCCTGTTTCCACATCTGATCTGTGAAGCTGATTGAAAAAAGCAGACCACCAATAAAACCGATTGTTGCATCTGTAAGCTATGTCTACATTGAAGGTCCCACATCTTCTGCACTAATCTCCTGAGTAGGGGCCCATCAGGGAAAAAACTAACTCTTAGGCCCCGTTCACACCCAGGAGTATCGAATATACGCGTTTGTCGCGCGTTTTTACCGCGATTTGCGGTAAAAAAAACCTGCGCGACAAACGTTCGTTTCCGAGGGCTACCTGGCTGTATCCCAATGGGCACGCGCGGCAAATATGCCCCCAAGAAGCTCCTGCACTTCTTTGGGCGTAGGGCGTTTTGTAGCGCGTTCATACGGCCTGTAATACGCCCAGGTGTGAACCATAACCATAGGAAATAATGGGATTTCGGTGTTTGAGCATTTTGCAGAGCGTAGGAACGCGCTACAAAACGCCCAGGTGTGAACCAGGCCTTAGATGTTTCCATGGGCCGAATGTTGCAATGCTCAAACCAGTGCAAATCAACATGTGGCTTGATGAATGCAAACGCTCATTTGGAACGGTTTGATGCAGATAACATTGATCAACCACACAGTAATTGGAGGGGGCTTGGCAGGTGTCATCCCCTTTGGATGCCTGCGGCGGTAGACCTATTAAAAGACTTGCTGTCTTGAGCTTATAACAAGAAGTTATACCTGCAAATATGCGTTAGCTTACATCTCAAAACAAGGAATTCCATCCATGTCAATACTTACTTCTTCATCTTTTCGTTTAATTTCTGCCTGCACTTCTTCTAGTTCCTCCTGGCCTTCATCAGGACTCATCTTTAACCCCTCCCTTAACATTCGAATTCCAAATATTGCAAACAGTGCCGTGGATACATAGTACGTGTACACCCTGGGGATGACTGTGGTAGCATATCCAAAGAGAACTATGGGAAACAATAGAAGCACTATGAAGACGGACCATTCTTTAGGAGTGAAGAACTTGTACATATTAACCTATGAAAATCATCCAACTTCCAAATCTGATATTACAAAGCAGGACAGGATATTATTACCAATGAGCAATGTATTATTACAAGCTTGTTAGAACTGTAGACAGATAAGATTGTATTTATATGAATATATACTATAAATATACTCTGTTAGTGTCAGCGCTACTGCCTTACAGCACCGGAGGTCCCTGGTTTATGTCCTGGTCAGGATAATATCTGCAAGGAGTTTGCATGTTCTCCCTGTGCTTGTGTGGGTTTCCTCCGGGTACTCCAAAGACATGGTGATAAGTTAACTGGCTCCTGTCTATATTGACCATCTATGCGTGTGCAATAGGGACATTAAACAAGTTCCAAAGAGGTTCCCACCACACTCCTTAAGGTATGTCCCTTTTAGAGGGGGTGCTGCAGTGGTAGTGGATAGCGCCACTTCAAATCCAAATAGTAAAGTATATCACCAGCACACCAAAGTAAAATCTTCGACGAGTGGTCATTTTATTGATGTACACACATCTTGTCATAAAGCAACATTTCGGGGGCCACTCAGGGTCCCTTCATCAGGCATGCCCGAGTGGCCCCAAAATGTTGCTTTATGACAAGATGTGTGTATATCAATAAAATGGCTCCTCGTCGAAGATTGTACTTAAGTGTGCTGGCGATATACTTTACCAATAGGGACATTAGACTGGAAGCTCCATGAGGGCAGGGACTGATGTGAATGTAAGGTGCTGTGTAAAATTGTGGGTGCTATAGGGGTCGCAGACAGTCCCTCAAAACATTATTAACTGCTGGGCTCAAGGGATAGATCTGTAGATTGTGAAAGAATACTGGCAAAAGGAAAGAGGGGACCACAGCACTCGCCATCCCTGCTCGGAGCATGCAGGACATTTGTCGAGGTGCACAATCCTCACCTACCTTCAGGTTATAAATATACATAAAAAGGAAGTAATAATATTCAATCTGTAGAAAAAGCTACTTACCTGATAAACAAGTCATCAGTCCTAAAGCCAGCATGGCTCCGGCCAGCACAGTCAGCCGATTATAACGCATTGCCATGATGGCGGCTATAAAAAAGGTTTTGTCTCCCAGCTCTGAAACAATGATGACAGATATCGCCGCGACAAAGGCATGGATGAAGCCCAAGTTACCAGTGGAAGCAAACTCGATATTCCCAGCATGCATAGCAGGAGGGGGACTTGGCATTTTCTGTGGGAAAAGTGAGAAGAAAACAGAAATTAGGAGAACATTCACGCTGGATTATAACAATGCAAAGAAAATAAACTGTGTGGAAGGTAATACTTATTTAAAAGGCAAGTGCGCCCAAAACTGATAACATGCATCGCTCTAAGGCTCCATTCACACCGGAGCGTGTACAATTCAGCACGTTTGTCTCGCAGTTTAATGCACGTTCATAAGCACGGACAAAAACGCGCAAATTTTAAGACGTGTGTTTGCTGCTACAACTAGTCAGAACGCCGGGCAACCACTCAGAAAATCACGCATGTACCTTTTGTTGCGTTGCACGTTTTTGTCCCCACGTACAAACGCGCAGGTGTGAATGTTTCACATTGGAATGCATTGACTTTTGCGCGTATACACGTAGAAAAATGCTTGGGTACCAATATATCATGTCACCTTAGTGTGCCTGCTACAAAGCCTGAAGGTTTATTATTATATAAATACTTCTTTTTTTACCCGTTTCTATAAATCTTTGAACGAGTGCGGCCTGTTAAATGTTTATTTGATTCACTGAGCAATATGGATTCTCTCAGGAAACCACCGATACGGTCTCCGTTCCTTTTGGCTCTGAATGAGCATGCCATGCGGTGGCGGCACATGCGCAGTATGACCTCGACCGATTCTGAATGACTGAAGGCCGAGGTAATCCTGCAAATGCTGCATGAATGATTTATTCAGGGCCAACATATCAACATCAAAAGTGTATCGTCAGTGGTGCGGGCCCCTCTGGTTACATATTGTTGATATTGACATGTTGGCCGTGAGCAGCAGTACTGGCCAATACGACGCATCAACGCTGTCCGCATGTAAACATTAGCAAAAATGTTCCCTTGCATGCAGCATAAATAACGCTGACATGTGCAGCTGTGTTGTATCGGTTAATAAAATGAAGCTGCCAGGCGCAGCGTTCTCATTGGACCAATGGATTGAAATACTGCCGTGTAAAAAACTAGATGCTGTATGCATCTGCACGCAGCATTTTACCAACCATGTAAATGAGCGCTAAAGGGATAACTGCACTTTGTTCTGAAAATAAGCTCCACCTGCTGGCTGAATAAGAGGCTTTTTAGACCTTTCCATACTAAACAATGAAGGGAATTTATCAAAACCCGAGCAGACAAAAACTGGAGCAGTTGTGCATGGCAACCAATCAGCTTCTCTCTTTCATTTTCAAATCTCAACTGAACTAAAGAGAGAAGCTGATTGGCTGCCATGCCAACTGCTCCAGATCTGATAATTTCCCCCCACTGTGTATACAAGACCCCTTTAACCCCTTCATGACTGAGGCCTTTTTTTCATTTTTTGTACCCATGTTATATTCCACATTTTAGGCCTGAAAATTACTTAAAACCCCCCAACATTATATATTTTCTGAATGCCAAGACCCTATAGAATAAAATGGTGGTAGTTGCAAATTTTTATGTTGCGCAATATTAGCGCAACTCCTTATTAAACCCCAATATTTAGTGAAAAATTTAATTAAATGCCCCAAAACACAACAAAAT